CCAGAGTCAAACCAGAGTCAAACCGGTTCACCCAATTAAATTTTTATTTATTCACAGTAAAGTAAATAAACATATCAAATGTTCAAAGTAACAAATTAAACCTGTTTAAAGCAGCAATATCTAAAAGAGCCTCAGGGGGGTTGGGGGCACGGGAGGGTCAGGAGGCTCGGGGGGCTCAGGGGATCAGGGGAACGTGGGGCTTGGGGTCTCAGGGGTCTCGGGAGGCTCAGGAAGCTTGGGATGCTAAGGAGGCTCAGGATGCTCAGGGGTCTCGGGAGGCTCAGGGGCCTCATGGGGATCGGGGGTCTCAGGGGCTCACATACCTTCAGGACCTGAAGACGTGCACGGCCCGGATCACGTACTGCCGGCAGATGGGACACTCGTTCATCCTCTTGCCACACTTGGTGCAGGTGACCATGTGTCCACACTCCAGCAGGACGCAGTCGATGGGCGAGTCCATGCAGATCTTACACAGGTTGTCCTCTGGACCCGACGTCCCTCTGCCAGAACCGTCATCATCTGCGGRGGACGAGGACAACATCAGGAAGTGACAGGAAGTCTCACCTCAGCCTGACTGAGGGGACAGAAACCACTCACCTGTGGTGTTCACAGAGTTGGCAGCTGAAACAGAAAACAAAGGTTTGGATCAGACTCCAGCACCGGGCTCTGGATCAGAACCATCAGTCCTACAGGTTGTTAAAAGTCTGTCTTTACTGATCCAAACGTTAACASCTGAGCAGGTGAACGGCTGCTGATAGTCAGTCCTCCGGACGGTTCAGAACTGTACTCACCCAGCAGGTTCTGCTGGTCCTGGTACAGCCGGGTCACTCTCTCCATCAGCTCCCACTTCTCACAGCAGCCTTTGTAGTTGACGAAGTTCCGGGCCAGGATTTCCTTCAGCTGCCGAACGCTGAGCGCCTCGATGTCGTCCACATGGTTCAGGTCCGACAGCGAGGCCCGGCGGCCCGAGACCGGGGCCTCCTCAGGGTCCCAGATCTGAACCGGGAGGAGGAAACACTGAGTCAAAATATGTCAATCATCTTTTTACCACATTGAGCCTGAAGCTTTGAGTGACGAGAGAATAAATCACTATTCTAAACAGGAAGACCACAGAGTGAACGCTGAGTCAGCATCATGTTTTTCCTGCTTATCAGAGACTACAGGACCATGATCCTTCGGGGGAAAAGAAACCTGACCAGGTCTTACCTGGTCTTCATCCTGTTGGTCCAGCTCAGGCTGTAGGGTTTCCTGGGTTGGGGGCGGGACTTCTGGTTCTGGAGTGGGCGGGTCAGAGATTGGCGTGATGACAGGAGGCTCAGAAATGCGTGGTGTTGGGTCAGGGGTCACCGTGGGCAGGTCAACGTTGGGTGTGTTGGGGGCGGAGCTACTGGAAGGTGAGGAATGCTGACTCATGATTAGCTCCACCAGCTCCTCCTGAGGAACAGGAAGCGCAGGTTTAACTGGGGCTGGGGGTACCACCAGAGACCCCCTCAGACTAGCACTGAACCAGTGAAGAGTGTGTTTTTTCAAAACAAACTCCTTAACGAACTCACTCAGGTAAACTAATTAATGAAGCTGTTCTGGTTGGTGTTATATTGACCAAAGACCCCATAGATCAATCATCACTACAGTAAAGCTCAGCATCAATTATTAAACAAGAAACATTAATTCACAGTTTGTATCATTTGAACTGGAGGAGAATGAACAGTGGACACATGGTAACAACTGACAGTTCACTCCTAAACTGTCCAAACTTCAAATCAAGTTCAAGGTCTACCCTCCTCCTCACTCAAAACAACTGAAGGAGTGCCTCAAGGATCACTTTTGGGTCCATTAACTTTTATTGTTAACCGCTCTGTTTCAATGTGGTATAAAGGTGCAGCAGGACCAATAAATCACTGGTGTCAGAGCATTTAAAACGTTAAACACAAGTCAAAGAACCTGAACAGAACAGGTCAGATAAAACAGGTCAGATAAAACAGGTCAGATAAAAAAGGTCTAAAAAACAAGTCAGATAAAAACAGGTCAGATAAAACAGGTCAGATAAAACAGGTCAGATAAAACAGGTCTGATAAAACAGGTCAGATAAAACAGGTCAGATAAAACAGGTCAGATTAACCAGGTCATATAAAAAAGGTCTAAAAAACAAGTCAGATAAAAACAGGTCAGATAAAACAGGTCAGATAAAAAAGGTCTAAAAATGTCAGATAAAACAGGTCAGATAAACCAGGTCAGATAAAAAAGGTCTAAAAAACAAGTCAGATAAAACAGGTCAGATAAAACAGGTCAGATAAACCTGGTCAGATAAAAAAGGTCTAAAAAACAAG